TATATATATATATATGTTACAATAATGTTAGAATTATAAATATTATGTTTGTGTTATGTAAATACACATTATAAAATGTATGTACATAAAATTCTAATATTTCGTATAAATAGATAATATCTGCATGGTTATCTCAACATGAGTAACTTTTATCTGTTTATATAATGCGTGCGTGTGTGTGTATATGTTCACATAGTATAATATACATACAAATTTTCTATATTGGATATATGATATGTTAGTAATGTATGTACTATAAGTATCTATCTCTTTTTATTAGACAGAGCAAAGAGAGTTATGTCATATATATGCAATGTTGTATTCATTTATTGATAATATATTATCCTAATCTAAAATGGCATTGGACATAAGAAAAAAGTGCTACTATGTGGCTTCGTATCGATATAATTATTAGTTAAAAATCTGTACTTTATGTACATTACAGATGTTTAGTACTGGTGGCATATATCGGAACGCGGTCTATATTGCATGTGTATATATAGTACAATTATATTTCTAAAGTCCAATTCCACAAATATAAGATTAACTTCAATCCCGGTTTATTTTTTTCTCAATTCTAAAATTGGAAAATTTTTCAAAATTAAATAAATCTTACATTTGTGAGATCACACACAAACCTAATACATGTTTTCGTTCCTAAGTTCAAATGGTTATGTAGGAAACAAAATAAAAATGTCGATAATTAATCAATCGAATTTCCTGCATGATCATATTAACTCAGAGGGTGTATAAGCATCTTATATATTGAAAATAAAAACCTGTAATATCGACTTTGATTAAGTTCTGCCGTCGCTCCAGTATCCCCTTAAGATGAAAGTAATAAAAATTTGATTAATATACACATAATCTTTTCATGTTTTTAATTATATACAAGGTGTTTCAATAATAATTAGCCTGTTTCAATAATAATAAAAAACTCTAAGAGCATATTCCACTCATTGTGAGAATGAAAAAAAGTCATATAAACATGGGTTCTGAAATGCTTCCTTTCCAAGTTATAAACATTTCTTATTTAAATTGTATTTAAATTATGTATTTATGTCGGACGGCATGCCTCGCTTCAACGTTTCATGAATTATACTTCTATTCATCTTCTAAAATAAACAAAGAGTTATTAGATAGATCTGTATGGAATTGGAATCAGTCTTTATTTAAGCATTTCAGATGAAGATAGTATTCATCAACATGACAACTTATTCTAACATCAAATTGGACAGATATATTCACCACATGTATGGATGAGCTAATAGAAATTGCAGAGAAGTTCAATGTCTCTATTAACAAATCTCCCCTCAAAGATAATGCCGTGCTAAAAATACCTTCAGTTCGGTCCATCGTTGACTTAAAGAAATAGAATCTTTCTTACCCAATACAGTTACTATGAAGCAGAATCATTCAAGCAGCTGCAATCGAAGGCAAGTAATTAGACGAGTCACAGAAAATCCAAGACTTAGTACGAGACAGATCGCATTAGAAATGCAAAATGTTTCTTTTTCAACTGTATGGAGGATATTAAACAAAGCTCTTTTTCATCCTTATCATCTACAACGATTTCAAGTTCTCTTACCAGCGGATTATTTATCATGAGTAATTTTTACTCAATAGTATTTGTGCAACAGTGTACTTTTTCAAATTTTAAAGGGTCGATTACAGACTTATAATGAAAACAGATTTATAATGAAAATATAGATTATAAGTATAAAATAAAATATAGATATAAGTATAAAATAAAAAAAATGTTTATAACTTAGAAAGGAAGCGTTCCAAACCCATGTTTTTATAACTTTTTTTTATTCTTACAATGAGTGGAATATATTTTAAAAGTTTGGTCAACTATTTATGAAACACTTTGTATAATTTCATTAAACGATTATCTTCATGGTTCAACTTATTCTTCAGAGGATGCTCAACATGCCCCATAGGTAGGGTATATTGATCCACTTTGCATTTTGTAATTAACGTAATTTTTTTTTCTTATTTACGAGCTATATTAAGGATTTATAAGTATTATACTTAATTATTGAACTAGATGAACATGCAACGTTTTAAAACATTTACCATCAGTCTATCATAATTGTGTGAAAATTTATAATATAATAACTTAAAGAAAAAATGTTACAACAGCAACCTTTACCCTACTTTAAGAATACTTAGAATTACCTACAGATTATTTGATATTACGCTTATTAACTTAGGATTTTCTATTAGAAATATTACTTAAGATTACCTAAGAACGTTAAAGGTTATTTATATTTATTAAAAACTTAATTTATTAAATTATTTTGGATTACTCAAAATTTTGTTTGGATTGCCTCCGAAGATTATCTAGTCTTTGTACAAAAATTACCTCCGTGACCAATCCCCCGAAAAAAATTTAATAATTAATTTGTTTCAAACTATCTGAAAAATGCGGGGATTGAAGATTTTTTAAATCGATTCTATATACGTATATTCGATAAAGAATTTCGGCTAATATGCCGAATAAAGAAGCTCCGATGACCTTAACCTTGATATATGTCAAGGTCATGATTGAGTAATCTCCATCAGGTAGCCGTCATTCGTTAAGTTATTAACAAAAAAAAAGTTATTAACAAAAGAAGTTTGAAAAATGATGTCTTTTTTCTACTATATAAAACAGATATTTTCTACTTCAAAGTATATTTTACAACTTTCCACGCGAAGCGACTTACCCCATCTCCCCCCCTCTGCTTAGGGGCACATGACTTCCACGCGAAGCGTCTCTCATCTTACTACCCCCCTGCTGAGGAGCGCGCAACTTCCATGAAGCGACTCTCACTCCACTTCTCCCTTGCTTAGAGACGCATGATTTTCATGCGAAGCAACTCCCATCCCACCTCCCTTCCTGCTTAGGGATGTACGACTTTCCACGCGAAGTGATTCTCACCCCATCTCTCTCATGCCAGAGTTATATAAGAAATTATATAAGAAAATATTTTGCGTTGTTAAAGCAGGAAATTTAATTCATCGGAGCACAATTGTTTAAGGGGTTACACCACCCTGAAATTTTCAAAAAAAGGATTTTTTTTTTGCATTATTTTGAAGCCTGAAATGTCAGGAACATTTTAAGATTGGACCGGTAAAAATATTTCAAATATAGAGAAAGTTATGCGCGTTACAGTGGCAGCGTGACCGAGCGGATTTCGGACAGAGGGTCGCAGGTAGTCATTGACGCTTCTTTCGGTTATCGAATTATAAACTTTGTGTCAGTTTTTTCAATTATTAGTGAAGCAGTGAAGTGTAAGAAGTCGTATATGGCCCTGGAATTGCGGACTAAAAAGGTAAAGCAAAAAAAAAATCGATTTTTAAGGTTTTAAACAATTTTATTTTATTTTCCGTTTTACTCGAAACTATGTTTTACGAATCGGTGTACACCGTATCTCGCTCAATTTTTGTCCGATTGACTTGAAATTTTAACTGCAACTTCTTAAATAGATTTTCCGTGGAAGTACACACGATTTTTATGATTGATAAATTATTACGTTTGCAGTTAACAATTTAAGGTCGATTTTTTTGCTAAAAAATGAAAAAAAAATTTAAACTCATACAAATTTGTGAATTTTTAAACAAAATTAAAAATCCTCGGTACTTCTATGGAAAAACTATTGTAAATTAAGAAAAAAATTTTTTTTTTGTTCCAAATGGCACACCAGGACTGCAACGGTGCACACCGTTTTTCTCCTACAAAAAAATTTTTTTTTGTTTTTTATACTGCCACGACGCCATTTTGTTATACATATATAAATAAAAAATATTTTTGAGAACTTTAATATATGTGTAATAAAGCCCTAAATTTTTGTTTTGATCCACCACCTAGAATTCAAGAAAAAAATTCACGAAAAAGCTTATTTTTTTCGACGCGCTTGGGTAGTGTAACCCCTTAAAAGTTAGGTTTTTTTTATTGATAAAGTTTTTTGTTAATAACTTTTTAACAACTAACGAGCGAGGACTAAAATCTGATGGAGGTCACTCAGGCTCATGACAACATATGTCAAAGTCAAGATTATCGGAGCTGCCTCCCCTAATCGGCAGATTTACCAGAATTTCTTGTTTGAACTGTAAATTTCTAAATTGAAATTTCTCAATATCGAAATTTCTTTTCTAAACATCTAGATATGAAATCACATTAATGTAATAACGATATCTCAATAAAGTGATACAAAGACGATAATTTATTTACTATTATATTATTTATTTTTTTAAATGCTTATTTTATTATTTAAAATGATATATTTTTATTATTAATGTATTAATTATATTGCTCTCTCTCTCTCTCTCTCTCTCTCTCTCTCTCTCTCTCTCTCTCTGTCTCTGTCTCTGTCTCTCCTCCTTCTTTTTATAAAAATTAGTAATTTTTTTTAGGATTTTATTGTAAATAGAAAAAGAAATCTTTTGAAAAATACCTTTAAGATCTCCGACACCGTCACCATCACTATCCTTGAAACTTCTAGGATAAATTTGATAAAGAGACATTGACTGCCACCATTCTGGAGTAGATGCACTATATCCGAAATTAGGCAATAGTAATATCGCACAAAGCGTTATTATACTGTTCATCCTTGTTGGATCTTAAAAATAAATTATAAAAAATTACTTATACGATAACATAAATGTAACAATATTTATAGACATTACATTCTTTAAATAGCATCAAAAGAAAAAAATCTATTTATTTTAAAAGATATAGGAGATATAAGAGATAAAAGATGGAAATTTAATGTTAGATTTATGAGAAATAAAAAAAAATATAACTGAATTTAAAAAATAATCAATAACTCGATCTTTTTAGTCCTGTTGCTCGTGTCCGAGTATAGGGTCTCTCTTCTTTCATTTGGCTGTGGTGCGCACACTGGTTGTACACAGTTTATATGGGACCTACAGTCGATTCCGAACGACGAACTTTTTCTTTAGAGAAAATTTTAAATCTTTTCATCTGTTCATAAGCATTATCTATGAACTCAAGTTGGACTGAAATTGCGAACATGGCACCATGTACTCGTATAGTATGCGTATATTTGTATAATATACAACAACAGGGATGGCGAAATAAATTTTTTATGTGTGGAGTAGTAAACGGGTGGGGATCTAGTTAGAGCTAAATT